TAATTGAATAATTGAGTAATTATCTTATTTTTAAGATAATTTATTATGTATCAATTTATATACATATGTATTTTTCCATTTTATTTAGAAATTTTCAACACAGGAAAGCTGAAATAATAAAAGAAATGGCTATATATTGTCTATCCATATTTTTAAAAATAATCTCTTAACCTAGACTGAGAAAGTGCTGTCCAACAGAATGCAGGTTTAAAATCCGGAAAGTAAGGTGTGTATCAGGATTGTATTCTTTCTCCATACCTATTCAACTTATATGCTGAGCAAATCATTCAAGAAGCTGGACTATATGAAGAAGAATGTGGGATCAGGATTGAGGGAAGATTCATAATCAATTTTCTAACTTTGCAGAAAGAGAAGATAACTTGAAACACTAGCTGCCATTGATCATGACAGCCTTTAATATGGATTACATCTCAACAGCAAGAGAACGAAAGTCTTCACCACTGGACCAATAGGCAACATGTTGCTGGACCAAAAAGGTATTGAAGTTGTCAGTTATTTTCTTTTACTTGGATCTACAATCAACACCCATGATAATGGCAGTCAAGAAATCAAAAGACATTTCAACATCAAGGTGACAAAATTCCTTATAATTGGATTGATAAACAGCATCATAATGTTGTTACGTGCTGTTGAGTCACCTGTGACTCATAGAGACCCTATGCACAATAGTTCAGAACGCTGCCCTATCCCGAGCCAGTCTTACTGTCTCTGACATACTTATCCCCATTGCCCCAGTTTCTGTATTAATCCATCCTATCCAGGGTCTTCCTGTCCTGCATTGTGCCTCCACCGTTCTGAGCATGCCCAAAGTATGTGAGACAGAGTGTCAAAATCTTAGTCTACAAGGAGAAACTTGGTTTCTCAGCATATAAAATTCATTAAGTATGGTGAAAGGATACAATCTTGAGGCATAGCTTTCCTCATTTTAAAGCATGCAGTGTTCCTTTCAGGCTAACACTTTTTGTCCTCTGTATAGGTTTTACATGAGCACAATTAAGTATTTTGAGATTATCATTCTTCTCAGTATTATCCATAATTTGTTAGGCTCCACATAACCAAATGGCTTTGCATTACCAATAATTAATAAAACACAAACAAACAAAAGAAATCAAAAGACATGTTGGAATGGGAAAATCTGTCTGTTTAAAGGCTAAATTGTGTCTGATTCAAACCATGGTCTTTCAATTACTTCTTATGCATCTCAAAGTTGTACAATGAATAAGGATGACAGAACAGGAATCGATGCTTTTGAGTTGTGGTGTTGAAGATTAGTACTTAATATCCTATGGACTGCCAGAAGAACAAACAAGTCTGTCTTGGAGGATAAGCAACCAGGATGCTCCTTAGAGGCAAAGATAGTGAAATTTGATCTCTCACTTTGGGCATGTTGTCAGGAGAAGTCATTTCTTAAAAAGGGATATCATGCTGAAAATATGTTTCAGATATAATGAGATTTTATTCCCAAGTATTAATTATGCACTTTCTAAGATTAAGGATACTATTTCATATAATTCTAATACCATTACCTCAACTAAATAAAATTAATAGTAATTCTATTATACCTCCTCTCAAACACAATTAATAAGTTCTTGGATCCACAAATAAACCCTTGGTACAGCAGTCAGGAAATAAGGACATACATTGTACTGGGAAAATCTACAGTTAGGGACCTCTCCAAATTATTGAGGAGTAGTGATGTCAGTTTGAAGAGTAAGGTGCATTTGATATAGGCCCTGGTCTTTCCGGTTACTAACTATGCATTGTTGCAGACTGAGGGTAAAATATTTTTATAATTATTAGTAATGAGACAGACAACCAAGAATAAAATAGAACAGAGAGCATAAAGACAGGGAGCCAGCAGTTCTCGACTGAAGGTCCCCATGCCAACTTCCCTGTATCTTTATTGAAAATTGTCAGGAAGTAAATCACAAAGATAATTCAATATAAATGAAGCCAAGCTCTTTCTATTGAAAAACTGCCTGACCCAGGAGGGAGGGGTCAGCAAATACACTCTAGCTTGAACTTCCCCCACATCCTGAAATAGTATTCAGTTTATTGCAAATATTTAGTATTGGCTTCCCATAATGCATCTGAGAGCTGGACAATGAATAAAAAAGATGGGAAAAGAATTGATTCCTTTGAGCTGTGGTGTTGGAGAAGAGCACTGAACATCCCATGGACAGCCAAGAAAATGAACAGATATGTCTTGGAGAGGGTGCAGCTGAGTGCTCTTTGGAGGCAAGAATGATGAGGCTTCACCTCACACACTTTGGGCATGTTGTTAGAAGGTACTATTCTTTGGGGCAGGAGATGATGCTTGGAGGGGTGGAGGGTCGGTGAAGGAGAAGACCTTCAACCAGGTGGATTGATACAGTGACTGCTGCAATGGGCTTTTGTGTGTCATGAAGTGTGAGAATGGTGCAGGATAGAACAAGGTTCAATCTTTTGTTCATAGGGTTGCTATGAGTCGTGTTCTACTTGACGGCACCTAACAACAATTATACCTCCTAATATTTCAGTCATTTTCAAATTTCTGAAATTTTCCCATAAGACTTTTAAATTATTTTCCCTGAACTAGGATCTAATCCAGATTCATATATTACTTTTATATCATCTGAATATCTTTTAAATGTTAGAGTAATCTTACAGCAATTTCTTTTAATATCATAGTTTAATCTCCAGCACTGCTTTTTTCTCCCATGATACTGGCTCAATGAAGAGATGAGCAAAGTTTTGTTTTTTTTTAGTTTTTTTTTTTTAGCAAAGGTTTTTGGATTTGCTATTTTTGTAGAATAAATACATAATGGTCAAGTAAAGAGAAATTTAAAAATGGAATATTAATTTGACATTTGAGAAGTAATCAATGTAATTCATCAACTAAAAGAAGATTTTTGATTATTTGATTATTTCAATAGATGCTGACAGAATATTTGGTCAAATCTAAAAACCATTTGCAATAAAACTCAAAGGCAGTTAGAAATAGAAGGAGATTTTCACAGCCCTATAAGTGGCTTATCACATCCTAATCTTTGGATCCTGTGATTTTGTTACTTTATGTAGGAAGAGGGACTTTGCAGATGCGATTGGATTAAGGATGTTGATGTGGGGAGATGATCCCAGATTATTCATGTGGGTATATTGCAGAAAACCGTGGGTAACATTTTTGGAGGCAATGGATATAGTGGTGATGATTGCACAGGCATATTTATATGTCAAAACTCATCACACTTAGTGTTTGAAATATGTGCAGTTGATTATCCTTCAGTAAAGCTGAGTAGAAAGTTATACAGAGAATTGAACAAAATGCACTAGTGAGTACCAATTAACAGTTGATTAGTTAGTTGATTATTGTTCAAAAACTATTTAGAAACATAATCTCGGCAGTGATGTGCGTGATGAGTTGGAGGAGAATGTGTGACTCCATTGGAAAATCACTCCTAACAAATCCCCCTCAAAAACTTAAACCTACCGGCGAGTTCTGGTAACCTGGTGGCAAGAAGCTGCACTGCAATCCCAGAGGTGAGTGGTTTGAATCCACCAGCTGCTCTGCTGGGGAAGGAGGGACAAACTCCTTCTGTACAAGTCAGATCCAATTTGACAGCACACACACACACACCACCACCACCACCACCACCACAAAAAAAACAAAAACAACCCAACCACAAAACCCAAACCAAACAACCTAAAACTACCATCTTCTCACTCATAGCTATGCTATACTTTGTTTATAAGAAAGCCATTCGGGAAGTCTTGATAAAGGAGCCCTGGTGATGTAGTGTGTAATGTGTTGGGATGCTATCCTAAAGGTCAGCAATTTGGATCTAACCATTGCTTTATGGAAGAAAGTTGGGCATTCTCCCTCCATAAAAATTTACAGCCTTGGAAACTAGATGGAGGGCCACTCTAAGGTGAAATAGACCCAGCAGTAGTGAGTTTGACTTGGGTTCTGGGGCTGTAGCTAGGAGAGTGATTCAGTGGTAGAATTCTTACTTTCCATGCAAGAAATCTCCACTGATTCCCACCAATGCACCTCTTGTCTCTCAAGGAAAACTGCTTTGCCTATTGCCAGGATGCTAACAGAGTTTCAGTAGAGCTTCCACACTTAGCTAGACGAACAAGAAAAGCCTGGCCAGATGCTTCTGAAAATCAGTCAATGACAACCCCATGGACCACAGTGCTCCCTTGTGACTAGGAGGGTCATGAGTTGGGGGTGACTCCATGGCCACTAACAACTGTCTTGAGACTCTGAGGAAATATTCCCATCTTGAGAAATCTGACTCTGTCTTTTAGAGAGAGTGACTCCTGGGATGATTGATATGTAATGTCAGAGCTGGAAGGGATCTGAAAGAGCCTTGGATCCAGCCATTCTATTTAGATGAAGAAATTTAGGCACATAAAAGGTCCAATGAGAGTCACTGAGGTACCTCACATCACAAAACCAGTTAGCAGCATAGCCAGAACTTGAATACACCACTCCTTTCATTCTGCATCTGCCTCTCAGAGTAGTTAGCCTCTTGGATAGGGAGCTCTGGTGGCATAGTACTTAAGGCACTGGACTGTTAATTGAAAGACTATGTCTCCGGTGGTTCAAGTTTATCAGCTGCTATGTGGGAGGAGGATAGGGCAGCCTTCTCCTGTTTTGATTTATAAGACAAAAGAGATTATTTTTATTCCCAAAGCATCCCCTCATCTGGGCACAATTCCTCCATGATATTATGACTGTTGGTGCATTGCTGATGATATGAGCCCAAATGTAGAGGTGGAACCACTATGGGCTCTTAGGCCAACAAGGCTTCTTAATCTCTGAGATGTGCTGAAAGGCAATCAAGGCTGTCGTATTGGATATCAACAAGGGTAGGGACGATCGGGTTAAAAACACATGGAGGACCAGGTCTGTCTTAGTCAGTGCCTAGATCCTTGGTGGTACTGGTCGTGGAGCTGGGTGGTGAGCATCACATCTGCTTTTCTTCTGTGTTTAGGTGGAACATCGGGCATTGCTGTCGAGCTTGCAGCTGATGTACACCGTGGGATACTCCCTCTCCTTCATCTCCCTCTTCCTGGCTCTAGCCCTCCTCCTGTGCCTTCGGTGAGTAGAGCTGCTACTAACATACATTTAGTTATCATGCACCATATAATTTTCTTATTGGCTGCCTCTGGACTGCAGCAGAAGACTGGGATGGAGGATGTGGAATATCAGAGGTGTAAGAGACCTGAAAGAGAGTGGGATCCATCCACCCATCCCATTTAGATGAGGAGATTTAAGGGCATCAGAGGTCCAATTAGAGTCATTGAATCACCCCAGGTCACAAAGCCAGTAACAGGCATAGCTAGAACTTGAACCTGGCACTCTTGATTCTGTGTCTGCCTCTTTATAGAGCAGATAAGCTCTGGTGGCCTACTAGTAAGAAGCTGTGCTGTAATCCTATAGGCATGCGGTTCGAATCCATCAGCTGTCTTGTGGGAGAAGGATGGGCAATCTCCTCTTGTTTGATTAACTGCCTTTGAAAACCTACCCACTGGAACATCAGCTATGGGTTGGTTTCCACTCAACAGTACACAACAACAACAACCACCTCAACAACAACAACCACCTCTCACGAAGGGAGTTTTGGTGGCCTAATTCATAGGGTATATTGCACTGTTAACCAAAAGGCTGTATCTCCAGTGGTTCAAATCTACCAGCTGCTCTGTGCTGGGAAGATGGGACAGCCTTCTTCTGTTTTGATTTACAGTCTCCGAAACCCAATGGAGTGTTGCTATAGTCAAAACAGACTCAAGAGTGGTGAGTGTGAGTTTTGAGTTTGAACCTTCAGTGTACCCGAGGAGTTATTAGACAGTGCGGTGGTCATTGGGCTTGCCTCCTAATTGAAAGTCTAGGAGTTTAAGTCTATCTAGAAGTGCCTCAGAAGAAAGGCCAGAAAACCAGTCACTGAAAACCTTGTGAGACACAGTTGTGCTCTGACACATTCATGATCACCATGAGTTAGCGTCAACTTGATGGCAACCAGTGTGTGTGTTGAATCCTGACCTAAATCCCTAATCACAGCTACCACAGCCATAGCCCGTTACCATAACACTCTCTAAGAGGTGCTATTTTAACAGAAGAGATTAAGAAACATCTCTAAGGTAAATCAGTAAGTGGTAGGACTGGGATTTTTCCTCCAGGTCCTTCTGAGTTCAAGTATAACATTTACTTGAGAGTCTCACTCTAAGCACTTTGAAGTCATTTTCTTCTTATAATAAGCCTAGGATGTTAGCATCATTACCCTCACAATTTAAAGGCACATTAGCGGAAATATTACCGAGAGAGGGAGGGAATAACCTCCCCAAAACCAAACTGGTCAGTGTTGGAACCAGGAACATAAACAGACGATCCAGAACCTGTACATGTTAACCCTTTTATATTATCTTTTAGAAGCCAAAGCCCGAGTGATTTTAGTCAATCATTCTTTCAGAAAGCACTCAAGTGAGATCAATATGAGCCCACCAGGGAGCCCTCCAAGGCCGTCTCTTGATCCCTGGCTACTTGCTGGCACAACTGTGTGTGGTGTGGCAGATGGTGCTTTGGGCATGGCTGCAGGAGATCTGAGTGGGGACCTGGAGACCCAGGTGCTCGTTGCAGAGCAGTCCCACTTGCGCTGTATTGAGCTCAGGTTTGACCTCATCTGAATTATCAGTCTCTAGATATCTACAGTTCTTCATGCAGTAATGATCATGTCCCCCACTGGGAGTGCGATTCTTGAGCACTGGGAAAGAATCCCACAGCCTGTGCCCCGCTAGCTACTGTGGCCCCTTCCCAAAGCTCCTGAACCAGCACAGGAGAAGATACTGTCCAGTCCTGCCAGAAGTAATAACAAATCAGCTTGAATTGACCAAGTGTCTATTTTCCTTAGTTTCTGGATGGAATGTGTGAGGCCTAGGTCCCAAATTCAGATAGCCCCCATTCTAGTGAGGAGAAAGCCAACCAAACCCATTGCCATGGAGCCACTTCTAAATCATGGTGACCCTCCGACAAGTTTCTAAGGATGTAAATCTCTGTAAGAGGATACAGTCCATTTCCATCCCCTACAGATGATTCATGGATTTGAACCACTGAACTTTTGGTTGGCAGTCCAAATGTAGCTCACGGTACCACCAGAGCTCCTTCTAGTGAAGAGAAAACTCAGCCTTCCAGTGGGTTTTCAGAGGCTGTATATCATATGAGAGAAGATTGCTCATCATCCCACAGAGCAGCTGGTGGATTCAAACCGTCCACGGCTGGAATTGACAGTGCACAAGGAGTTACCTCAAGTTCTCTAAAACAAGGCAAGGAAGAGTGTGTGATTCAGCACAGGGTGTGAGAACTCAGTGGAGAAAAGTCCTTCTGTCTGGAGAGTGAGGATACACAGTTCTGCATTAAGCCGATAAAGAGCATTCAGAGTCTCCAGGCAGTGAGAGAGACATGAGGACTGACATTCCCTGAACATCAGTGATGTCCCAGACGATTCAAACTTAAAGGGGCCATAAGAACCAACAGGGATGTGAACACTTGGTTGATTGAATCCATCTGCAGCCCTTTGAGATATGTGCCCTCAGGGCCAGTGTAGCCCCTAGGAGCTGAGTTGTCCTTGGGCCTCAGACTAATCCAAGCCATGGTCTTTTCAATTCCTCCCTATGCAGCTGAAAGTGGTACAGTGAATAAGGATTACAGAAGAAGAGTCTATGCCTTTGAGTTGTGGTGTTGGAGAAGAGTAATAAGAGATTCATCCTGCGTCTGAATCTCGTAGTTAACCACTTGTGGTGGAATTTTAAATAGTTGACTTACCTTTCAAGTCTCCCATTTATAGAGGTAGGATGATAATACTACCAGCTAACACAGTGGTTGTAAGAAATAAATAAATCTGCATGTAAATGAGTTGGAGCATACCCAACCATGATGAACTGTTAGCTGTTATTATACCCATTTTGCATATGAGAACGCAGCGCAGATGGATGAGATCATACAACCTGGCCCTTCAACCGCAGAGGCTATTATGAATTTTGTTGTTAGTGATGGGTGCACAGCAGTGACATCACTAGGGCTGGTGTCACTCACTCCCCATGATGTGGGCATGACTGACTGGTGACCCCTTTTCCTTTGTGGGTAGAGGGTGCTGGCCACATCCCACCTGCCTTCTGTGGTTCACCTCCTCTCTTTCCCTCTCCCATTGGCCAAGACAGAGACCCTCCACCCCACTCAGTAACTTATGTTACCAACTCATGACTAGCAGGCATGCCCTGGTCTCCTAACTGGAAGTGGACTGAGCTACCTCAGTGGGTAAAGCGTGACACCAAGCCTAATGACGTCATCGCCTTGGCGGCCCCTCCCACTACAGCGCTGGGTCTAGAATTGCAAACTTGGGGTCCTTCCGGTGTGACAACTTTGACAGCATCAAGGGTGTGGTCCACACCCCACAGCCTCCTAGTGATGCCACTGACACACAGGTGTGTTGATCCAAAGCACCAAAGCTCCCCAAAGCGTGCTTTTCTCTTTTTTAAATTATTATTATTATTATTATTAATTTTAATGAAAATTTACAAAGACTTTGGTTTTCCATTCATTCATTGTTGCATTTTTCTCCCTGCCCACCCCTCCTCTACCAGTTCGTTCTTCCCTTTGAAAAGTTAAAGGAAAATTCTTTCATTGTTTTACAATCCCTCCCCGAAATTCCACTCCACTATGCAGCCTTCATTCTGGACTCCTGTCATGACAATAATACCTAATCACATATGCCTTTTAAACAGTTTTCTCCCTCATCTGTTTCAATGCTGTATACATTATTTATCCCATCTTTCTCATTCTCTCCTCAACCCCAATGTCAGTCCCGTTTTACAATAGTGACACTATGCAGTATAATGTCACTCAGCATAATGTCCTCCAGGGTCACCCATTTTGAATAATATTGCATGAGTTCTTTGTTTTTCATTGCGGCATAATATTCAATTGTGTGAATATATCATAGCTTCTCTCTATCCATTTGTTTATTGATGGCCACTTAGGTTGTTTCCAACTCTGCTGTTGTGAACAAAGCCGCGATAAACATGGGTGTGCATATATCTGCCTGGATTGCGGTTATGGTTTCTTTGGGATATATTCCCAGTATGGGAATTGCTGGGTCAAATGGTATTTCTGAGGGAAGGTGCTTGGTTCTCTCCTTGTGCAGAAAGCTCCATTGCACACGCAACTACATCCACATGAACTTGTTTGCTTCTTTCATCCTGAGAGCCCTGGCTGTGCTGGTGAAGGACGTCATCACCTACAACTCCTATGCCCAGAAACCTGACAGTGTGAGCGACTGGCTGTCCTACATACCACAGGTAATATCCTCCTCACCAACCTGTCCCTGGGATGGGGATGGGCCACTTCTGGGAATTGGACGTTGTAGGGAGGAGGAGGGAGAGAAAGGACTCCCATAGTCTTTCCAATGAGAGAGGCACATGAGAACAGAACCTCACAGAATTGGGAAGCAAAAGGAAATGGGAATGGAAGGTTTCACTGTAGCTACTACTCAAAGAAATGTCTTCATCTGTAGATGAAAGAGGTGGAGTATACCAACCTTTTAAAGTTGTTTTCCAAGGCTTTTTCTTAAAACTTGTTTTGTAAACTATCACCTAACTTGGGAAGGACTGGTGATCATTAGGCTGAGTGAACCCAGTCCCTCAAGGACAAATATTGTATAAAGCCATTATTGTAGAATGAGTATAAGGATCCAAGGTGGGGGGGTTGAAGCAGAGGGATGAGGATGTGCAGGGGAATGAACCATGGGGTTGTACAATTTGATGTATACGGGGGTGAGAGAAAATGGAAGAAGTGGTCTGGAAAACAATGTATTTGAATTTTGTAAATAAACTAGTATAATAATAAAAAATTTAAAAAAGGTAAAAAAAGGTGGAATAGATTGGACATAATTAAAAAAAAAACCCTGTAGAAAAAAAACCCCTTTGTTTGTTTGAGTGAAGATTCACAAATCACAGTGCTTTTCCATGCAATCTGTCATAGACTTTCTGTTTTATAACATTAATTACCATTGATTAATGTGGTTCATTCACTGCAATATCTAATATTCCCCTTATTGTGTGCTGCCTTTCCCTTCATTTAGCTTATCATTACTCATATTTATTCATTTCCCACCCCCTTATCTCATTCCTATTAAATTCCAAAGTTTCTTCTATCTGTGTAACAGCAAAACTTTTCCCCATTGAAGTCTGCATTTCCTGAGATAGTTTTAGCTTATTAATGTAACAGCCAGTTAATCTAGCTATGTACTCCTAGAATAAATCCAAATTGGGCAGAGTTTGGATCTGTTGTATGTAGCATCACCAGGAGTCAGAATTGACCCAATGGCACCTAACAACAACAGAGTTTATAGTCTTATTTTTCTCTTATATTGTTTCAATCAGTTGACCAATATTGTGTTTCAGTTAGTGTTTTCTTAACTACATTCTAGAGAGAGGAATTGTCCTGTAATTTTACTGTTTTGTGAGGTTTTTGTCAGATTTTGGTGTCATTTATGCTGACCTCATATATAACAAGTTGTTACCTCTGTTTTTATTCACTGGGAGAATTTATTTTATATTGATTTTTTTTTTTGCTTTAGAATACACAAGTAAAGCCTTTTGGCCCAAAGAGATTTTGTGGTTGTTATTTTTGTTGAGAGACTCTTGTTGTTGTTTTTATTAGGGGCCATGAAATGAGCATGACTCATAGCCACCCAGTGAAGATGCACTCAATCCCTCTGGTTGAGGATCTTCCTTTCTTTTGCTGAACCTCTACCTTCTTAAGTATAATGTCTCTTTATAAGAAATAACCTCTCCTAACAACATGCCCAAAATGTAAGAGATGAATGAGGCATTATCATCTTTACCTCCTAGGAACACTCTAGCTGTCCTTTCTCCAAAACATATCCATTTGTTCTTTTGGAAATCTAAGAAATATTCAGTACTCTTCTCCAAAACCACAGCTGAAAGGCATCCCTTCTTCATCGTACAGCTCTCAGATTGCATAACAAGTGGTTGAGAAGATCTTGGTTTGAATCAGGCACACCTTACTCCTCAATCTGAAATAATTTCTCCTCAGTAAATAGGAGAGGTCCTTGATTACAGACTATTCCAATGCAGTATGTCTCCTGACCTCCTGAAAGCTGGTCCCAAGAATGTTGACTGTAGGTCCAAATAAGATGAAATAGTTGAAAATTTTAATCTTTTCTCTATCATGATATTAGGGAGCTCTGGTGGCCTAGTGGCAAGAAGCTGCCCTGCAATCCTGAAGGCATGTAGTTCAAGGCTACCAGCTACTCTGTAGGAGAAGAATAGGCAATTTCCTCCCTCGTGACTGTCTCTGAAAACAGTGGGTCAGCTATGGGTTGGCTCCAACTCGGTGGTATACAGTAACAACAATGACATCATTATATTGCCTATCAAGTCCAGTGGTGAAGGTTTTTGTTTTCTTGATGTTGAGATGAAATCATATGGAAGATTGTAGTCTTTGATCTTCTGCAACAAGCACTTCATGACCTTACTTTTAGCAAGCCAGGTTGTGTCATCTGCATAACACAGGTTTTTGATGAGTCTTCTTCTGATCTTGATACCACATTCTTCTTCAAAGAGTCCAGCTTCTCAAATGATTTGTTCAGCATACAGATTGAATGGGTATGGATAAAGAATACAACCCTAACACACACCTTTCTTAATTTTAAATCATGAAGTGTTCTCTTGCTCTGTTCAGACAACAGCTTCTTGGTCTAGATATAGGTTTCCTATGAGAATAATTGTGTTCCAGGATTCATATTTTCCTCAATGTTAGCCATAATTTGTTATGATCCACAGAGTAAAATACCTTTTCATAGTCAATAAAGCACAGATAGATATTTTTCTGGTACTCTCTGATTTCAGTCAGGATCTATCTGATATCAGCAATGATATTGCTGGTGTCATGTTGTTGTTATGTGCTGTTGAATCTCCTGCAATTCATTTACGACCCTATGTACAAGAGCCCTAAACCCTGCTCTATCCTGTGACAATCTTACTGTCTCTGATACGCCTACCTCCGTTACCTCAGTCACTGAATCAATCCATCTCATCGAGGGTCTTCCTCTCCTGCACTGTCCCTCCAGTCTCTCAATCATGATGTCCCTTTCCAAATAGTAGTCCCTCCTTGCAACATGTTCTTCTAAACCCAGCTTGAACTTCTGGCAGTTCCCTATGTACTGTTCTTGCTATTTTTGGATAATGTTCAGCAATATTTTGCTTGCATATGATAGTAATTTAGTTATGGATGAATTATTAACCTCAGATGCATATTTTCTATTTTCTTCTTTAGTCAGGTGTTGTAACTTGTGTTTTTCTAAGAATTCCCCTATTTCATCTAAATTTTGTTTTGTTTTTTTAAATTTCTTTCTTTCTTTCTTTCTTTCTTTCTTTCTTTCTTTCTTTCTTTCTTTCTTTCTTTCTTTCTTTCTTTCTTTCTTTC